CGGGGGGTGCCGCAGGGGGTGCCGCAGGGGCAGAATTTTGCGAGTGGGTGGTCAACCTTGGATCAATGGCCAGAAGCAGAGGTTGTGGAATTTGCAACTGACGACGCCATCTAGAAGAAACACGCGAGAGGAATTTGGCTTCTTGTTCAAGCTCATGGTGCAGAATATGATCTGGTGTAAGAAATGTCAGGAAACTTGTCACAGAATAAACAGCAACGCACTCGAGTGGCGCTCCTTGGCCGACGCGAGCAGCAAAGACTCCTGATCAATCCAGCGTAGCATATTTTCACTCTCTCGGGACAGGCGGAGGTCTTCCTCATGACAGCGATCAAGTACATGGAGACTGGAAATTCCCTGCCGGACATTCTCATCACACAGCCACAATGGAACACCCCCCTCGGAGGGAGTGATCCATATATCTTCGAAGAGGTTGGTGTGAGACTTAAGCTCGTTCAGTTTGGTAGGCAGTGGGAGAGGGATAGGAACAGAGCAGTGTGGGGGCTGAATTTCTTCCAGTCGAGAGCAAAAGGAGTTGAACTTGTCGATTAGACGATGCAGCGTGGGCTGACGTTTTGAAAGGGCCTTCCGAGCTGCTTGATGAAGCTTTGTACCTAGATTACATATGGAAACATGTCAGTGTTGTGACGAGTGCGCATGGGGTGCGGCGGGGGGTGCGCGCGGGGTGCATGGAAAGGAACTTACCCAGTGGCTCCCGACGTCCTTGGACAGCACGGTCTAAATTCTCCCATTCTAGGAATGTTCCAATCGCTTGTTTTCGTATCTGTATTTTGAGATCCCTCATCAGCAGCAGTGTTTGAACAAATTCAAAGGGAAGTCCAGCCAGTTCTGGGTAATGAGTCTCCAGGTCAAGGGAAGTGTACAGATGCACAGCTTGTTCACTAAGCTTGCTATGAGTGCATTGTAGATCTTTGATCGCAATGTGCGCTGAATTAGAGCTCTGTCGATCGTCAATGGTCTTCTGGAGTTGCTCCAGAGTGTCATCGATATCTTCGATTTGATTTTGAAGGCTGACTATCTTGCCCAGCTCGCGTTGGACACGAACAGGTGGGCCTGTAACACCGTGTTGAGAGCAAATTTTTTATGATGGGAAATGATATACTGGACTGAAGTGATACCTGGGCAGTCAGCTGAGCCTGCCAGTGAGATCGCAAATCCACAATGGTCACGCCTGCAGTGCTGATCCGTCGTGTTGCTTGATTATATTTCTGTGGAATGTTCTTATTTCGTTGCCGTTCAATCCAACTCCCCAGACTGGTGATGCCTTCACGATTGACAAACGAAACAAATTCATCCAGGGTGGCTATTCGACGCGCAGCCTGCATATGTTTCAGAATCCTTGATTCAAAAAGGATTTAAAGAAGATACCCATTGATTTCGAGTCAGAGGAATTAACCTTCGTATCCTGGACCAAAGTCTTTCTACACCTTCTGAATCAGTAAGACCCATACCCGACTTCATGCGTGGGTTGAAAATCAATTGGCAGACCCATTGATGACCAAATGCATGCATCACATTCAGAGAGAATGATACACGAGATCGCAGATGGGCAGAAAGGATAGGGAACTTCAGAAAATAGTCAGCATTGTTATGGACTCTGTAGCGGGGGTGCGGCAGGGGGTGCAAGAGGGGGTGCAGAAGGGGGTGCGGCGGGGGGTGCGGCGGGGGTCGCCGCGGGGTCGCAGCGGGTTAAGATATGTGATGGTGGCGGAGAAAGCAGTCCATGAATGGAAATGCACGCACCAGATTGTTACTCCGGTCAAGAACACAACCAATATCATAGCATTGTGTAATGGTCGCATTGGATGGCAGCAGTGAAGCCACCTTCTCCAAGAGCGCAATTATGTAGTGCTGCTGCTCTCCTGGTGTGTCTATGTCACACATGAACAGGACTTGCGAATGACGACATGTCAGTGCAAAGATGCCAGTGGAGTCATAGCGCTTTGGGTCCCCCTTTTGTTTGTTCTCATTTGCAGCAGTCCATGACTCTCCACAGGCCTCCACAATATCAGCAGAAATTGGAAACTCTTTTAGGGGCTTCGGAGATTTCCTTGCCAAAAGCACAGTTTCTTTGACCTTGTGAACCTCTTCAGGTGTCAAGAAGTACTCCTGACTGAACAAAGACGGTCCGTTGCCAGCAGCGCGGAGATGGCGATAGTTGAAGCAACCATCAGCACCAAACTGTACATCCCCACCACTGAGCAAAACATGTCAGTCACTGCTGATCAGGGTTTGAACGAAAATCGAACATAGCAAGTGGACGGCCCCATTCCTTCAGGGAGAAGCACGAAGGACACCGACTTTGTAGGACTCTATTTGCAGATCCAGGAATCAGTGAAAACTGGTCATCAGATTCAATGGTGCGGTTGGCAGGGATGAACGAGGCGGGGGTTGCAGCGGGGGGTGCATCTGACATGGACGCCTGGCAAGGTCCTGTCATCGAGACTGATGGAGATGACTCCGCATGTTCGGGGGAACTTTTGTAGATGGAAGCTATGGAATCCGTGGAAGATAATCTGGTGTTGATTTGACTATATTCCATGGCCAAGGCATCATTGACCATTTTTCGGATATGCCGCTGGATGCTGCTGTAAACATGCACAGCCTGGGAGAGGGCTTGTCGTAGAGGATCAGTAGCATGTTCGCCATCAAACTAGGGTGTATATCAGATGTTTATTGCGAAAAGCAGGTGGAAAGAAGCAACTTACGGTCTTGGACATGAGCTCGAATCCTCTGGTGTTATAGAGGGTTGTCAGGGCATTGGTGAATGCTTGAATCGCAATGCAGGAGCGTTCAAATAACGCTTGGTATATTTCCAATGTATTCACTGCAACAGCAATCTGTGGCTTGCTAGGTGAGGTGGCGAGAGCACCATGTTCCAGTAGGACAGTGGCAGGTGAAACACAAGAACATGCTTGCACATCGATATGTTGAAAATCTGGTAATTTGTCAGACAAGATCTGGCAAGAAGAAATTCGAAACATACGTGCAATGTGGAGACATAGAACCCGAATTTTATTTTGGGTACAGGAAGGGTTGTCACAGTTTTGATAGATGGTTGCAGCAAGAGATGTGGGTGGGCATGCAAAAGATGATTTCCGAAATGCCAGGAGAGAGAGGGCAAGGTCAGGAATGAGATGGATCCAGACAGAAGAGGCTTGTGTAGCACGTGGTTTCCTTTGAAGACCATGGGGCCTTGCAAGAATCTCTGGAATGTATGGCGGCAGTCCAGCCCCCACACCCAACCCCGCGGCAGACCCCGCGGCGGGCCCCGCAGCAGACCCCGCGGCGGGGCCCGCGGCAGCCCCTGCACCTGACGCCATGTCTTCCCACACATCTTCGCCCGTCATATTGGTTTCATCCACTTCCATTTGATCTTCAAGCATTGTATTTTGCTCTTTCCCGAGTTCAGAGGCCTGTGCCACCAATTCTGGTGGCTCTGGGTCAAGCAGGGAATTCATCTTTTGAGCAAGACGATTTGCACGAGCGTTACGGCCCATGGGGATTGTCAGCACGTTTCGGAGCTTGTGCCGTCCCTTTACTGGACTGGTGGGTCGAAGGCTTTGCCCTGAAAGTCTTACTGTCTGCTTTCTTGGTGGTGGCTGTTTGGGGGGCATCCTGGGATAAAGAGCCAAGGAGGACCTTCATGAGAAAATACATGAGTGATTTGTCAAAGAAGGCGGCATCACCGTAGCATGAGTGGTGGTTAAACATGGAACTGATCAACCGCACGGGTGACCCCGCAAAATGATGGGAACATTCCCATCATTACCGCAGTGCGGCGGGCATTTTGCGCTCAGCGCTTCACTTTCTTAATTATCGAAGCTAGACACAATTGGGATAGCATCGGAATTTTTTCCGGCAGCCATTTGGTTTTTTTTTGCGCCCAGTCACGTGACCATTTTGGCCGCCATCCGCTGCATTGTGCGCCATCGTGGAGAGCATGCAAAAACCCGACCAAATGGTGGCAAAATGGCCGGGATGAAGTCACGTGAATATGCGCCCGCCACCCGCCGTGGCATGCGGGAGGTCGGTAATGACCCCGCCCGCACCCCCGCCAGCCCCCGCCAGCGTTTTAAAATTTTTGGTTCCATCTGTCACGTGCTTTTTTCGCCCGCCATCCCGCCCGCTCGGTGCTTCCACGTGATTGATTTTTTTTTCCCGCCCAGCTACCCGCTCTTACAGATGTAGACAAGTCACATGTATATATTTTCGTTCACCCCCCCCTGCTGACCCCCGCATATGCCCCCGCCCCCAAATGGACCAAATCCCCCCGCGGGCCCCGCAGGGGGGTACCTTTTAGGTACCCTCAGAGCTACGTCTGAGGGTACCCAGGAGGACCCCCGCGGGGGTGCAACCGGGTGATGGCGGTGGTAACTGAGGTGTGAATGCCTCTAACTATGATAGAAACCAATAAATCAGCTTTATAGATCGTTCTCGACTTCGATCTGGGCTCTGCAACGAAGTGGACTCACAAGAGTGAGCAAAAATGGGAGTAATATACCCGCAGGTACAAAGGTCACTGGCGGCCACCGCTGGCCGCCGGTGGATGTTGGCAGCCATCATAGGATGACGTCAATCAGTGTTTGGCAATGAGTGCCAATGGCTTCCCTGATCCCCGTCGTACTTCAGTGGACGCCATTGCACTCCTTTAACCACCGTATTCCAGCGGATTTCGGTGGCTTTCGCGCCCAGTGTTTCAAATAGCGTTCGACGTTATCTGCTTATCGTCTTCAACCGCCGACCGCGTCTTGCAAGTTGTGAACATGTCGACACCGTTTTGAGACTAGGACGAGTGACCCCACGCCCAGGAACCGTCCGAAACCGGTGGTTTTTGTCGAAAATGCAGGGGATACGCGTAGAAGGGCGCGGCGACGTGCAGCCGCCAAGTTAGGGGAGGAAGACAGTATGTGGATATAAAATTAGGTGTGTTGTACCGTCTTTTCTTGTGTTCCCTCCCGCGACAACACATTCCAGTCCTCATGGCTCCTCTGACTCTTTCCAACCGCCCCCTCGACAAGAAGCCCGTCAGCGAGCTTCGCGCCATCGCTGACTATATCGGTATCGAGCACGCCAACCTCATCAAAGACCCACTGAAACGCGCCCTTCGTCGCGAACTCAAGAACCGCGCGGAGCTTGCCAACGACCCCATCCTTCTCCCTCTATTCGCGCACCGGGCGCAGCCAGGACAAGGTGTCAAGACCAGCGCCGATAAGGATGTGGACGTGGCTGCTGAGGCCACCCAGGATGTTGTCCCACCAACCGGGTAAGCCGTGTAGCACTCTGTCTCTGTTCATTTCTTGTCATTTCTCATTTCTCGTGAATCTACAGTGCAAATAAGACCCTCCTGAGCATGGGACAGAAGACGGACCCCCCGCCGCAGTTCACCGCACTGGATTCGATGCCTAAGGCTACCACGCCAGGAGCCAGTGAGTCTCTGGTATTGATTGCTTCAGATGGCTGATGTCACTTACAGAAAAAGTAACCTTCAAGAAAGATGATCACAGCAATGAGTCCTCGGATTCGAGTGACGCTGGCGATGAGGAGGATGTTGTGTCGAGTCCTGTGCACCATGCTTCTAAAGTTGCTGTAGCGGAGCATCACGAGAAGACTTCTGGTGAGCGTCTATCTTCATTGGAGGACTCAAGCTGACATCGCTCAGGTGTTATACGTGTCAATCTTCGCAACTTTGACAACCGCTCGAAAATTACCCACCAGGTCTACGTCGACGACCATCCCATTGACGTTGCCACCAATGCGAGTGGTGAGAAGCGCTTTGTGGCGGAACTTTCGGCGCTACTTCCCGAAGCATTGAGGAACGACTCACCGATCAAGGGTATGTGCCATGGAGCTTTCATCTGTTTGGAAGCTATTCTCATGTGATATAGGTTTGCCTGGGCGCCTCTACCGTCCGAACATAAACGTGAATGATCCGTGCCCTCTCCACATCGGTCAATTCAAGGCACTGAACTCGGAGGAGCCCTTCAAGTTGCCATCGCTTGTGGATCACTATGCTCTTACAAGCGAGGGCGACAATCTTTTTGCTTGTGACTTGCTGTGGAAGGCTACTGACGTGTCTTCGGGCACACAAACTACCGCTAAACAGCAGCAGGTGTGACGTCTCACGCTCATCTCTGTACTCTTACTTATCTGTTGTCTCACGTCACAGGATTCTTCGAATTCGGTGAGTTTATCAATCCATTGCGTCAGGACTGTGTACTGACCAATGGTTCACTAGCTCCTGTTGTCTGGCAAGGACGCAGATATTCCTGTCGCCGTTGTCAACTCACAGCCTGACACCAACCCCATGCACGCCAACGCACCTGCCGCTCTCCGTCAACTCTTCCGAGAATTCATTCATGGGAAAGTCAAGGCTGTGGTCTCTGAGCTGCCTGAGCTCAACCGCAATTGGCCGCGGTGCAAGCTCGCCTTACAGATGCTGCAACGGCACTCTCTTCAGAACCAGGCATTCGCTTTTTTCGACAACTGGAGCCACACCGGTGGAGGATATCATGTCCCTCGTGGTTTGTGGCTCATTCTTACACAATGTGACGTTCAGTTTTCTAATATTTCGTAGACCTTGGAGCATTTCCCGGTGTTTACTTCAAGAAGGACTTCCTCTATGATGTGCTCAACATCAAGAGCTCCAGCACCACTGAAATCGATGGGTACTTTGCCCCGCTTGTTGTCGCTGATGCTCCAAAAAAGGTCCGTGAGTGGATCGAGAGCGGCGGCACTGTTCACGCTGAGCGCTTCAGCAACATGAAAGCTGCCCGCTTCAAGGAGTACGTCTTGGGCTCGGCTCCGGCTCCCAAGCCCTCTAAGAAGCCCCGCCAGCGCAAGCATCACCACCGCTCCTCGTCTCCGATTGTGTCATCGTCTCGCAAGCATCGCCGTTCCTCGTCGCTGGAGGACTCTGAGAGTGAGATGGAGGAGCGTCGGAGCAAGAAGGCAAAGCGTATGACCTCAGAGGAGCTTGATTAGTCACTCTCTTTGCCGGCTGGTCGTCAAACTAATTCTGTTTCGTACCTACTTTTGTGACTGTCTCGTACATTAAACATGTGATTATGTCTTATCGTTATCGCTTGAATCTGCATCTCCTTGCATCTCGTCTCGCACAACCACCCTGCAATGGCTCCCACCGTCCAAGACCTCATTCTCCTCTTTCAACTTTTCTTTCCTTCCGACCTCTCATTGGAAGCAGCATTTCATCTGATCAGCATCATCTTCTCGCTGTACCCGCTCCTTTGGCTACACCATAGCCAACAACGCGAGCCTCGACAGCCCAGCCAAACAGCTTGGATGACTAGTATTTGGGACACTCTTTTCCATTTCCTGGCACCAGCAAAAGACGACTTGCGAGCACTGGTTCCTGAACTTGATCTAACCGAAGAATACACTAACAAGATCGTTGGCGATCTTGACTATCTGCTCCAGATGTTCGGATCTGACCCACGGGATCTGACTGTAGACGGAGAACCTCCCAAGTTTCCTGCCTCGCGGATTGTCCTGTGTACAAGCCGGCTGTCTTGCATCTTCTGCCCAGTTGGAGACTTAAACCTGCATCCGACTTTGCGTAAACAGAAGAAAGTACGGAAAGTATGGGTCTTGGACCCAAATTTCACATGGTCTAAAGCGGACTCTAGTGTTGTCCCAGGTCGGGTCGCGACCCGACGACCCGGGTCTCAACCCGGGTCACGTCAGGTGCATTGACACGTGAGTCCCTGGAGGTCTGCGGCACCCTGCAACGCAAGCGTGGGGTTCTGGATCGCGGCCACGAGCCTGCAAATGTGACAGGCTGTTGATTTTTACGTTCCCACCTTTGTCCCACCCTGCAGACAACCCCGCGATCACGCCCCGCACAAACCCTAACCTGAATTCCAAGCATGTGATGGCTGTCTCGCAGATGAACCCAATGAGCAAGAGGATGACGAAGACATCTAAAATATTGTTCAATGTCTATTTCTCGCTCACATACAACACTGCATACAAAATGTAATGCAATTTTTGTGTAATCTTCTGACCTCCCGACCCGGGTCTCGACCCAGACCCGACCCGCGACCTGACCCGACCCAGTCCCCCAGGTCGGGTCGGGCAAAATCCCTCGACCCGACCCACCTCTGACCCGACCCGACCTGCCTCTGACCCGATCCGACCCGACCCGGAACAACACTAGCGGACTCGTACTCGGCTCACTGCGCTAAATGTGATGCTAATTATTATCCCGATTGCATCACTTATCGCAACGAGAACGGGGCTCGTCGCCAACAACTCGAACCTTCACCTGAATATCTTCGGGTCTCCAAACATGGCATATGGGTCCACCGGAATCTTGCACGTATGCAGGAGAGTGCCCTTGATCGGTTCCACGCGGGCTGGGCAAATTTCGCAGATTGGCTTAACGATTCTCTTCGCACTGAGCAGAAATTTACATATCGCCAGTCCCAGCGGCTTTTTATCGAACACTTCTCACGAAAACTTCTCGACTTTCATGGGAAAATTGATACTTTCAACTGTGGTGCATACCTCAGCAGCACCGAGCTGGGAAAGGCTGTCCGCAAGGAACTTGGCATTAACGGTGGGGTTTTACCGTCTGCCATGCATCACGGATGCATCGAGTGCACTCATGTAAAGCGCTATCGCTCGGATTTGGTTACCGAGGGTGTTGTTCTCGGAGACGACGCAGATGTTGTTGATCTAGACACCTATTTTCAGGCCGCAAATGAGGCAAGTAACATTCTAAAATGATACATCGTGTTGCTTCTTAATCGGCTACCACAGAATTTTGTTGATGAGGTCACCGAGCCTGCATTAGAGCAGCTACCTCAAGCGCCATTACAGCAGACTGCCCCTGCAAATGGAGCTCCCCGAGGATATGTGCGGGTCGCTGTAATGGACGGTAAAACAATCACGCATCGGGCATGTTTCTCAATTTTTATTTCAATCCAAATTCCTGATCATTTACCAGAAATGCGCTCTAGATGAGTGTGAACAACCGCTCGTCAACTACAAGACCGGAAGATTCTGTTCCTTCCATCTCGAACTCGCTGACAAGTGTGGTATTGTCGGTTGCGGTCGCTGGATTTGCGAACCGAGGGCAATGACATGTGACATCCAAGCTCATGTGGACTGGCACAAAAACTGGGAGAATCGCTTCAAACGTTTGTCATTTGCCGGTGTGCAACGTGTTATCCGGAAACAAATTGGAGCTGATCCTTTCGATCCAACTTTTGTTACTCCCGCTGTTGGCACTGGTCCCACTCTCCGGATTGAGTTGGGTACATTGGGAGATACTCCAGGCGCCTCTGTGGTCCACACATTTGCTGCAAAGAAGACGTACTGCATCGAGACTCTTCAATGGTCATGTGGATATCCCATTGGCTGGGGGAAGTGTTTTCGCACCTCAGTTACCACCGCCATCACCCGGTTGCACCCCCGCGGGGGTCCTCCTGGGTACCCTCAGACGTAGCTCTGAGGGTACCTAACAGGTACCCCCCTGCGGGGCCCGCGGGGGGGATTTGGTCCATTTGGGGGCGGGGGCATATGCGGGGGTCAGCAGGGGGGGGTCTGTACATGTCATGTGATTTATCATTGGGAGCGGGCAGGTGGGCGCGAAAAAAAAAATGAATCACATGACACATCCAATGGGCGGGATGGCGGCTGATGGCGGGGTAAAAAAATCACGTGATGCACCGCATGAAAATTATCAAAAATGGCTAGCAGGGGTTGGCGGGGGTTGGCGGGGGCGCTACTGGCCCCCCGCACACCATGGCGGGCAGTGGGCGCATTATCACGTGACTTTTGGGGCACCTTTTGTGCACCATTCGGCATGATTTCGGAGGTGTTGCTTGATCCATTGCATGCTGTGGCAGACAATGGGCGCATAATCACGTGATTTTCCGCCCAAAAAAATGGAAGCCTTCCCCAAATCATCCTGGTATCATTTCTATCGGTAAATACACTAGTTAAGCATGAATTTGAGCTTAGAAAGCCCAAAATGCACCCTGCACAATGGGACTGGTGATGCACTTGATCCCATCATTTGGCGGGGTCTGCTGCGGGGGGTGCCACGGGGGGTGCTGCGGGGGGTGCTGCGGGGGGTGCCGCAGGGGGTGCCACAAGGGGTGCCGCAGGGGGTGCCGCAGGGCCCGCTGTGGGGTCAACCACAGGAGCAGGGGTAGGGGTGCATTGCATCATATTTTGATCTATCTATTCTCGCTGTGGTCATAGCATGCAGCATAATTATCCTTCATTTTGCCAGGAGTTTGGAGGCTGTGTCTGGGGTTGGTCTGCAGCTACAGCCATGTGACTCCCTGATGCTTCGGCAGGGGCTGGGATATCAAAACTGTGCAATATTGTCTGCATAATCCAGGCATGTAGGGTTAAAAAGAAAGTGTGATTTGTTCATTTTTTGGCTGGCAGGGTAGGTGGGCTGACATCATGGGCTGCATCGGGTCCACTGTCAACTCATTGATTGTTTCGTCTGCTCATTCTATACACATGCCCATTGGTAAGCTGATCATGCTGTAGGCACAGTCTAATCTTACCCAGTGGATAATACCATACGTTAATTATGCACCTAATGTCACACTTCCTGTCTGGGACTCATTGAAGTTCATCTGTTCTGTGTTACTTTACAAGCAGTTTGCTTTAGTTGCAACATGAACAGATGTAATAGAGTGGATTTGACATGCCCTGAATTGATTCCTAGGTGGAATATGAGACAATGGATTCACCAGCAAGTTGCCTCACAATAGTCAGAGATTGGTAATATTTGAATTTCAAATTTCATATACAACACTCTGTGCACTCAGAACTCGTATATTTGCAAGATAGACTGTAGAGACATAGATGGTTACTTTTACTACCTCTGGGGCTGCACACATCCTTGCCATGACCCACTGCCTGCACCCCTGCTGGTACCCCCATTGGCACCCCCGCCGGCACCCCTGTTGGCACCCCCGCCGGCACCCCCGCTGGCACCCCCGCCAGTCTAGCACCCCCCGCTGCACCGGTGCCTTGTCCCCGTGATTTTCTTATATGTAAGATTATGTAAACTGACAGCTCGGAACACGTCAAGTCACTAGCCAATCAGAACCTGTATAAACGTCGTACCTAAGTGTTTACTGCTCTTCTAACACTGTTCCTACAGTTATGCAGCTGAAAACCATCGGAATAAGGTCTCCTTCTGCTATTCTTATTGAATATGTAGATACTTCATATCATTTGTCCACCTAAAATTCGAAACATGAAAAGAGTTCACCATTGCTCAAGGTTCCTATGTAGACAATGGTTCAACATGGTTCACTTTGGGTATGGCAAAAAATATTTTTTCTACACACAAGCAATTCAATACAGCTGAATGATATACTCTTTGGCAGTGTCTGAAACAAATTCTGAGAGCCCTGGACCCTGGAACTATTCAAAAACTTGAAATGAGTCCGAAAAATAGGGTCTTGATAAACATGAGATATGGGCTGGTTTGAAGAGACATGGGCCACCGGTCATGTTGAATATAGTATTTTACAATGTTTCGGTGCCCTACCTCTCATCACATGGCCTCATTTCCTACTAAAAAGGGTGCATACACACTCAAGCTCATAAAATCAATTGTCACCCAGAAACAAGAGCAGTGAAGTTGTTTCACTGGGATTGGGTAAAGGTTACCTAGAAGTCACTTGGGTTGCAGTACAGAAGCTTTGGAAAGTGATTTTGTAGTTGATCCACATTTGGTAGGCTGGCAGATGCTTGTGCACCCCCACGGCACCCCCCGTGGCACCCCCCGCGGCACCCCCTGTGGTTGACCCCCCCCCAACCCCTGCAAGGATTTAATTGACAAATGTCCTGCTCAATCCATTGTAAGAGTCTACAGTATTATTGGATTCAGTAAAGGGCCCAAATGGTGTGTAGACAAGAAGTATGAAATCCGGAAATCAACAATTATGACACCTCCACGGAATATGCTGCAAATGGAGAGAAAAATTTGAGTGCAGACAGACTACCTGAAGCAAACAGACAGAGAAAAGAAACATTAGCCATTTCTTGTTGATGATGTTGGCTGTCCCTGGAGCATGTACTTGGGAGATTTGCCTAACAAATCAAGTTGCACATTTTTCAAATTTTTAGTTTGACCTGACAGCTTGAGCAGACCATGCTGAAATGAACCAAGTCATATATATCAGTGCCCCAAGCCAAGCCAAAAGATTTAGGTAAATTTGCACAGTTTTGATATCCCAGCCCCTGCCGAAGCATCAGGGAGTCACATGGCTGTAGCTGCAGACCAACCCCAGACACAGCCTCCAAACTCCTGGCAAAATGAAGGATAATTATGCTGCATGCTATGACCACAGCGAGAATAGATAGATCAAAATATGATGCAATGCACCCCTACCCCTGCTCCTGTGGTTGACCCCACAGCGGGCCCTGCGGCACCCCCTGCGGCACCCCTTGTGGCACCCCCTGCGGCACCCCCCGCAGCACCCCCCGCAGCACCCCCCGTGGCACCCCCCGCAGCAGACCCCGCCAAATGATGGGATCAAGTGCATCACCAGTCCCATTGTGCAGGGTGCATTTTGGGCTTTCTAAGCTCAAATTCATGCTTAACTAGTGTATTTACCGATAGAAATGATACCAGGATGATTTGGGGAAGGCTTCCATTTTTTTGGGCGGAAAATCACGTGATTATGCGCCCATTGTCTGCCACAGCATGCAATGGATCAAGCAACACCTCCGAAATCATGCCGAATGGTGCACAAAAGGTGCCCCAAAAGTCACGTGATAATGCGCCCACTGCCCGCCATGGTGTGCGGGGGGCCAGTAGCGCCCCCGCCAACCCCCGCCAACCCCTGCTAGCCATTTTTGATAATTTTCATGCGGTGCATCACGTGATTTTTTTACCCCGCCATCAGCCGCCATCCCGCCCATTGGATGTGTCATGTGATTCATTTTTTTTTTCGCGCCCACCTGCCCGCTCCCAATGATAAATCACATGACATGTACAGACCCCCCCCTGCTGACCCCCGCATATGCCCCCGCCCCCAAATGGACCAAATCCCCCCCGCGGGCCCCGCAGGGGGGTACCTGTTAGGTACCCTCAGAGCTACGTCTGAGGGTACCCAGGAGGACCCCCGCGGGGGTGCAACCGGGTGATGGCGGTGGTAACTGAGGTGTGTTTTCGGTCGGAAAGTCCGTCTCAAGTGTTGGGAATTCTTGATCGAATTTGGCAAGACTCGCCGGCGGCAAAACCGAGCTTCATTGTTTTTGACGATGCGTGCAGTCTGCTGCGCCACATTGTGACTCAAAATCCGCAGAACTCCTGGCTCACTACCACGAAGTTCATTGTCGATGCATGGCACTACATCGGCCATCGCGCAACCGATGTACTCTGCCGTGTCTGGTGCAATCCTGCGCCAGCCAACGGATCTCAACCCGATCTCATTGTAGTCTCGGAGGACGATGCTGGTCGCAAACACCAAACTCGCGCATTTAACACGGAGACAGCGGAGCAATTGAACTCCTGGCTTAATGGATTCAAATCTCAGATGCGTCAAATGACTGATGTCAACTACGATTTTTTCGCGCATGCCCTCCTCATGCTTTATGCTCAGCGGGTGGAGAAGAGAATTGCACAGAAGGAACTGAATCTGACTGCGGAGTTCTGGAGGGATGCTACGGGTAGGGATGACGTTGGTTCTGCATGATAATGTCTTCTATTACTAGTCCTTACTATAATTTATGACCGTATCCACCACTCAGAATCCCACCGAGCAAACCGCCGCCCCCGCCGCTGAGCACGCCACCAGTGCAACGCCAAGCAGACCATCGAGAAGCTCACCTCCACCCAACAGCCCACCGAGGACAACACCGCCTCTGGTGCCTCCCAGAGCACCACTGAGCAAGACACTGATGGGATCCCTGCCCAAAAGTCTTCCCGAGAAGGCTCCCGTTTCCGCTGAGAATCCCACCAAGACCACCCAGGAGTCCGCCGCCGCCCCCGCTGAACAACTCGCTGAGCAGCCCACCTCATGTGTTTGCCCCGGGGTGGGACGGCCTTGCGAAGAATGAGCATCGTTGTTAGGATCAGACTGAACAGAATTGCGAGGCACCTGAGCTTTCGCGAGAATGGTGTCGATGGTTTGGATAGCACGCTTGAGATGCTCCATGCACACCAGCTCTGCCGCGTTGCGGATGATCTTGTAGTACTCCCAGTTCAGGTAATCCGGATGGGTAACACCGTTCGAGGAGATAGCGCCATACACGAGATCGAGATACAGAACCTTGATGTGGGCAGCCCTAGCACCGGCGTAAGAGCCCTGAGAAACGTGTAAGCACGATCAAGAAAACAGGAAGCGGGGGCGCATACGCCGTAGTAGATCCAGGGCGTGTTGGGTGCAGTCAGGTCCTCTTCGATGCCCTCGAATTTGACGTTCGCAAGGAAGTTCGCGCTGTCCGCTGCTGATTGTGCGTTATTGAGCCATCTAAACATCAAACTTATGAATAAATGACATGTGTGCGGCAGAAATACGACGGACCTGAGGTTGTCCGTGAAGAAGATTGAAACCGGGATGGATTTGCCATAGTATCGGTGCTCCAGGACGATGCCAACACCAGCCGTCGCGCGAGGCAGAATCTCCATGATGCCTGGTCGGATTCGAATCAGCCGCAAGCAGGGAGGTTGATTTGGGGTGCACCGGTGTCGAGGAAGGTAATGCGATTCTGGACTAGTGTCGGACTTCAGCCACTAGGCACAAGGACACGAGAACCCACCACGCCGCTCGTTTCTCCTCCATCCAGAACACAGGGCCCGGCTTTTTAGGATCGTAGTGTCGGGTGTTGATCCAGTATCGTTGCAGGAACATCGCGGTGTTGGACTTATCAAAGTGCCAGTCGACGCCGTTGGAAGTTGACGGCTCGCAATGCACTTCGGTCAATGCTAGAACCACCAGAAACCATCGGATTTGCAATGGGATCCACCGGCGGACACTGGCGAGCATTTACGCTAAGTGAATGACGTCGCATGTCATTGGTTCGGCACTGGACGGCACCATCAGCCACTGCCGCACGACGCCGTGATGCCGGTTATCACTTCCGCGTATATTACTGAAAAATGGCCGCTCAGAAAGCCATCAAACCATATTGATGGGACATCAGCACCGCGAGGACCATTGCTCAGAAATACGGTGACAATGCCTTGGCCTGCCGATTGCTTCTTTTGAGTACTTTCAATGAAATTGTACAAACATAGATATGTAAATATCCTGCCCCGTAGGTCGCTGCGGCACTCCAGCGTGACGTCTGCGGTGCGTGACAGAAATCCTGCGGCACTCCAGGCTCGAACATGCGGCACTCCAAATGTTTTGCGGCACTCCAACGGCACTCCGCGGCACTTTCATGTAGCCCATGTACATGCACTATCACCCATGTCTCGATGTTCTAGTTACCTTTGAAATCTGAGTCTCAAAATGTCTGTCTTATGTCGCGGTGACACGCCCAAGTGGAAGCCCTGTGAACGCTGAGAAATAATAAATACAATGCACAGTGTAGAATAGCTCAGATAAGGTCAAGCCTCGTCGTCAGGTTCGTGGACCACAATGTCCATTACCGATCTAGCAATGTCAGACTCATGGGGTACCGAAATACAAAGAAAAAAGCACACCTGAGGTTAAGCGAGTAGCCAGAGACTACGTCGGTCAGAGTGAGAGTATCGATCGGATGTACGCCGGGTGTCACGGCGAGGAACTCCATCCTCACCGACTGGCAGGCCGCAGGCAGAAGCGGACTGTGCAATCATCCTTGAGTGGATGATAAAGACTGTAAAAAGGACGCACCCAATGCGAACTCTGTTGTCCAACGGCACAATGCCCGGCGACGGCACCTTCTCTCCCGGATTTCTCGCCCGCCCTCGGCGTCTATCCGGACACGTGACCTCGAAACGGCGTGTCCACTCGCTCTGGTTGAACACAAAGATATCGAGCGTGAAGTGATCGAGTGGGAAAATCTTGTTGATCTCGTCCCGCACGACGCTCCCCGCCGTTTTCCCCAGGTCGGCGTTCTTGTCTGCATCGCTCTGAGAGCCCGAAGCCAGCAAGCCGACCGACACAACAATCGCCTCGCCGTTCCTAGCCGCATCCTGGTCAACTTCATACTCCGGGCCCTCGTCGATGGCGGTGCCAGACACACTCGCGTTGAGTCCGGCGAAGCCACCGCCACCGACGGCAAGCACCGGGCCGGGCGTGACCGGAATCGGCAGCGTGCCTGTTCCAACCGGCGCCCCCCTCTCGCGGCGGATCTCGACGCTCCGGCCCAAGGGCCCGCTGCCGATGCCCTGCGTGTTGGACTGCGCAGCGACGCCCGGCGGTGTCGGCGGCACGGCCGACCATGTCGGGTACGAGGGGTACGCCGGCGTCATGGGAACCGATGGCTGGTAGTTTGGGTCCACCGAGAGACGGGGCTGGTCGGCGCTGAACGTCGTTGGCGAGCGCGGCATGCTGGCCGAGAGCGTGACCGACGGAGGGGTATATGAATTCGATCGCGGCGGTGGAATCGGCGGAGACCCGATCCGGCTGTTGGACGGGTTGAGCATCGACGTCGACGCCCGGTACCCAACCCCGGTGCCTGGTTTCATGCCGATGGCACGTGCAGCAACGAGCGCCTGGCCCCCGGGCAGCGTGTGTCGTTTGGTGGGGCCGGGCGACGAGGAATCTTTGAGCATATTGATTAGACTATCCGAGCGGTTTCGCGGATTCGTCGGGAAGGGAGACGCCGGCTCTGGCATCACGCTGGGAATCTGCAACTGGACATCCCCATCGCGGAACTCGTCTTCTGGCTCCGGGTGTGGCTGCGCAGAGAGGTCGAGGATACAGTTCCACTTGGAGCAAAAGATCTGAGTGGGATACGGCATGTCTTGCGAAAGGTACGGCCGGCCGAATATCCCAATGGTCACAGACCTTTGCAGCATCTGCTGGGCCGCACCATCTTTGACCAAGCCCATCGCAAGCGCCTCGTCCGGGGATCGGAGGAACGAGACAGCGTACAGCAGGTTGTACTGCTCGCTCGATGCCACTCGTAGCGGGAACACCGACGACTGCCCATCCGCTCCAGACCACCCAATCAACACCGCCTTTGCATCGCCGTCGTCCGACCCGCCCACCTTCACTTCCACTCGGTCCACCTCAAAGCCCACAGTTCGCCCGGAGCCGCTCGAGTTCTCCAGCTCAACACACAGCATCACCGTCCGCTCATCTGTTCCCGCTTCCAGCCGGTCCGGATCCTCCGGGTCCGAGCTGTCGTCCATTATGTCTGCAAATAATACAGCCGGCACGAACACAGTCCGCATGCGCACCCGGAATCCAGACACCGTGGGCAGCGTTTTGCGGAAGCTCTTGCGCATCGTCGCGGGCGCCGAGATGGATATCGACTGCGACCGCCCGGTGGCCGTCATCGGGGAAGGCGATGCCGCAGGTAGCGGGGTACCTGGCGAGAGAGGCTGTAGGGTGAACAATTTGAGTCGCGAGACGGACCCCAGCCGAGCACTCGGGAGGTCTAGTTCGGAAGGAGGGAATGTGGGTCCACCAGACAATCCTTCAAAGAGGTTCACCTCCGGAAGCCCGGAGAGTATGGGATCGATACTGTCGTTTCCTCCGGGCGTAGGTACCCCGTTCGGGGTGGATGGACTTGATGGAGCTGTGTTGGATGTCAAGGACTCGAGGGAAGAAAGGAAGGCAGATAATGGATGGTTGGGGCGGTTGAGCGTCTGCGGACGGTCACGCAGCGTCGAAGAGACCGTCAGGCATAGCAGCGGGTCGCTGACAGCCAGCCTTAAAAACGCTATCCAGCAGTTTAAACCACGCGTATAACCGAAGAGCCTACTCACAGACAGTCAGACCAAGTCGGTACACCGCAACCCAGTTATCCTCCTCGTCGGACCACAGCAACGAGAACGCCTCCTTCGAGTTCTCTGCCGTGTTCTGGCCCCAGATCCCCGCTAGCAACAGGGTGCCTTCCGACTGCAGATAGCGTTTATCGCTCTCCGCCGACAGCGGCGTCGGGTTGGGTGTGCTGGGCGGAAATATCGAAGGATGGTTCGCCCGCTTCGGCCCTAGAGATGCCGTGCGCGGGGGCGCAGCCAGGCGTGCGGTGCGAAGGGGATCCTCTTGGGGCGAGTGCACAGGGACGGATGAGATGTAAGTCGCTTCGAGCGAGATCTGAAGGTGGGAGATGAATGTGACGAGCTCCTTGGGCGGATTCGCAGGGTCCTTAGAGGTCGAGGACGGGGGCTGGTCGATTCGGAGAATGAGAAGCGGTTGTAGTTGCTCGTCTAACGTCGTTTAAGATATACGAGGATAAGTCCAAGGCAGGGGCAATCCCACCGAAGTACGCTTGCGACCGCTCAGCCTTCCCACTCCTCAAGCGCGCCAGCCATCCATCCGCGGCAACCGGCGGCGGATATTCGAGAGACGTGTCTGGAACGACCACCTCCAGCTCAGACGACGCGAAGAGTTGTTGCAGGGCCGACATGTCGTTTGTTCTTGAGTTTGAACTTTAAACTTTCAGGCGCAGACTGAAAGGCCACGCTTGGATCGCCCGGAGCAATGCCAACGCGTCACAATCTAGAGACTGCAGCTGATCGTACGGGTGATTCCCCTTCTAGAGTCCGCGACAGGTAGAGAGTGAGGGAGGCGAATTCCAGATGCCTCTGTCTCTATTTGACCCGAGGAGAGAGAAATAGAAAATTAGGCGTTGAGAGACCGGAGAGTCGATCACGTGTAAATCTTCCGTCTTGGATCACTCATGAAGATAAACCCAGTAATGAGCACATATGCGTAGCAGATCGCGCGGGTGGTGCAAGGTGAAGTCCTCATCCCAGTCGGCCGAAACCATTAATAGACGTTAGTTCGATTCTACCGACAAATATTCGTGACAGGGTGCGATCATCCTGGCATACTTTCCGCGTATCATTATTTTATAGCTACAGTACATACTATAGCGGAATCATGGCTAGGTAGAGTCGAATTCTGCAGCAAGCCTGTGCTTGCATGCCCAGCGTGTAAGCCCGTGACAAGAAGAAAGGAAGATACTGAACAAAGACAAAGCTGTTACAAGAAATTATGGATGAATGGACAGTGGACAGTTCGCGATGGTGTTGGCGACGAGCGGAAGACAAGGGGAAGAATGCGAACTTCTGGAGGATTCAGAGTAGGGACGACCAGGCAACGCAAGACTTACATTACACTATGATGATCCAGACTGCGGCCAAATATCGGTGACCGTTCTCCTCCTCTCCCGCTTCTGAGGTCCGCTTGTCGACCGGTCTTCTCCACCATCAAGAGACATTCTCGGCCGGATGGATCGGTACCGACTCTCTCGCTCGCTCGCAGCCAACGCAGCCTTGATCGCTTCGTCCTGGCCATCTGAATTGGACAGCGTGCGCTCACGCTCGCGGTCATGCTGCATTTGTAGACCAGCAAGTGCAACGGTCGATGGGCGTGAGAACGTGACTGTGTTGCCTCTGGAGCGGGTTGATCGATCAGAATCGTTCCGGACTAGTGAGGGAAAGGCCGTGGGACTATTCGAAACGGTGTGCGGGGTCAATGCAGTAGTTGGTGTCGTCATTGAGGGGAGTAGACCAGAACCCCCAGCCCGCACGGTGGAACTGGTGATCGTACGCCGGCGTTGTGCCGAAGACGCAGTAGGCTTATCGACAGTTGTCTGTGGTCTCCGGAGGGTGGGAGATTCAGATGGCAGATTAGGCAATGGCTTGGGGATCGCAATGGGAGGAAGAGGCGCTGTGCGATTGACGTCATTCTGCTTGCGTGATGCTGGGGTCGGTGAGGGTTCGTAATCAACCTGTTGCACTGTTGTTTGCGAGTCAGAGGGTACCAACCCGTTTGCTTTCAGCTCCCGCTGCTCGCGAGGGGTTAGCAACCGTCGGGAACTCGGGGTCGGGTTGCGAGCTGGCGGGGCCATCGCAGATCCATGTATCGGCCGCATCGCTAGAGAGCTTTCTCGACCTTCCTTCGCGTCCCAGCTTCGTCTCGATTGGGAACTTCGTCTTCCAGCGTCCGGACTGGCACTGCCGTGACTTGAGCCGCCCCTACCTTCGTCTGAGGCACGACTTTCACCAAACTCGCGAACAACCCGTCCGACACCCAGCAAGAATCCAGTCACGGCTCGCACAAGCTCGTCGCTGATACGTAATCCGTCCCGATACTCGCCTCCGACTCGCCGCCAAACCTCTGCGAGTTCAGCAGTCTCGGCGTCGCTGACCTCGGCATCGATCTGCGCTTCCAGGGCTCTGGCAGTACCCGCTCGTAGAATCCCATTCAGTCGTTCAGCAGCACTGACCACTATCTGAGCACTCCTTGCGAGATCGGTCGCCGAACTACCAGCTGCTACACGCGACAAATGACCCTCGAACATAGCCAGACTGTCGCTCATCAATCTTGCATGCTCGGGATTGCCAGCGCTGCCGCTACCCGATCCACCATGTCGTCGGATGCTTCCGTATGGACTCGGACTCGGTGCTGTTCTTTGCCGGTCGCGTTCTTGTTGTTCTCGCTCGACCGAAATGTCCCGATGTCGATCCAGAGCACTCCCTGACCGGCCAGGGCCGTCGGAAGAATATGCACTGTTACGATATGTTCGCAGGGCGGATTCCTCTCGCCGCAGCGTATCGTAATCCGCCATGGATGTTGCAGCACGAACATGGGACCCGCTCCTTCTGGGCGCTTCGGCTCTCGCTGGTGTCATTCTGTCCCGCTCAGAGAACACATCTCCTCGTCCAGCTAGTCCAGCTGCCCTCAATCCCTCGCCAACCAGCCGGCCTGCACCACCGAGTGCACTCTCTGCACTGCCCGATCTAAGACTTTGTCTTCGCTCTCGACCCTCCCCATTAGCAGTCACAGGACTCGAGCCCATGTCCTCGCTCAGCCATCGTGTCTGATGCTTCCTCGTCAGGTCACGCACAGTCGACGGTCGTCCGTTCAGATTCGTTCCGATGGTTGATGTTGAAGACGTCGAGCTGCTATGTGCATGTCGAGTGGAGGGAATCGATTCAGCCAGAGAATGACGTTTGCTTGGCGATCGGTCAGGTTGTGGGGGTGACAAGGGCGGTTCTGCAGAAAACTAGTCGGCAGCATCAACATCTAGTCTGAACCGCAAAGCGACTACTCACTCGTCCGTTGCCCCATTCTCGTGGAAGAGGTTGCCTCCGTTTGCCAGCCCCCAGCGTTGGACTGATCCGGGTTCCGGTGTAACGTGCAGTGCCACCAGGGCTACGACGCGCGCTGGCGACAGCAGCCAGTGCGGCTCGGGTCGTATCCTCCGGTGAGCTGGGGCCACCGGAATCGTCATCGACAACGGGCGCTCTGCTACTAAAAGATAAATTCGAGGCTCGGGTAGTGCGTCGCGGCGAGCGCGTGTTAGAAGCAGAGGATGAGGATGCTGCCATCTGCTTGCTAGGCGAGACGGGAGCAGATATCAGTCGTTGTCGCTGCACAAGAGGCGTAGTGGGCCGGTGAGGCGAGTTTGTCGGAAGGTCGTCGCGTTCGGTTTCCGACCCAGATTGGTGGGGATCCTGGGTGCGAGAGCGCCGAATAGGAGGTCTGTTAGATGAAGAATGGGACGAGGAAGAGTGCGATGAGGATGATGCGTAATGAGATCCAGAGCCTGATCCGGACCCAGATGTAGAGGATGACGCATGTAAGGAGGGTGGCAAAGGTGATCGTGTGGAATTCGCAGATCGTGCAGTGGGGGATGGGGTGCTAAGTCGGGAGAACGAAGAGAGTTTGTCAAGTGCCTGAGTCACGAGTTAAAAGGTTCACAGAGAGACAAAGCACATCGTGACGGCAGCATATATCGAGAGGATTCGATAAGAGGAGCCGGAAGGAAATCAGAGCGAAATCGTAGACCGGTGGCAGGAGCAGCGATGGCGAGCAGGAGGAAGGACAAAGCCGACCGAGACACACGTCATGAACAAAAGAAATGATCACGAGCGTTCAAAGGTCAGAGTTGGAGAGTGATCGGAGACACAATGAAAGGAAATGAGACGGCGGGGTGAGGAAAGGGGGATGGGCCGCCGAAGTAAGAATCGAGATGAAAAGAAAAATAGAAGGAAGAGTCGTTAGAGTGAAGACCTTGCCATGAGCGTAACAACTACGCACTATTTTATTTCGCTGGGTCAAGCTTTTCACCCGCTGTAGCGCCAAGACGTTCTCGCTAGCACTATGTCGGCGTTTGTCCAAGCGTGCCGTGTTGTCCTCCCCATCATCGTCGATGTCGTTGTCGATGTCATCTGGCTCCTCGTAGTGTAGCCTATGAGGGGCCTGGTCGTTGTGGTTGTGTTGGAATGCAGCGTGGAAGGCCTTGAGATTCGAGCCATTGAGCATATTCGAAGATAATGACGGCGACGAGCCAGCCCGAATGGCGATGCTCCCTGGATCGCCAGTGCTACCACTCCCCGTCGAGTTGGTCGCAGGTGGTGAGGGAAGTCCGGAAAGGCTGCTGGTGCTCGAGCTCGGGCTGGGAGGTTCCGGAAGATCTGGGATATCCGGCGGTGTTGAGACAGCGAGATTTGGGCTGTTGCCAATGTAGATTTGAGAAGGCGGACGGGGTCTGTGGGCCAAAGGGGGCCGGCGAGTGGTCATCTAGACTGTGAGCCGCCACACAGCGCATCCGAGAACGAGTGTAGGGAGAAAAAGAAGGGCTACCACATAAACGCCCTGGCAGCACGTTGTTGAGGAGTTTCTCACGACCAAACTGGTGACAACTACCACCAGCGGTCCCAATTAGGCAAGCGCGGATATTACGTTGACCGGGAGACCAGGTCATGTTTCCAAGGGATTGGTAAAATATAAACCCATCATCAATGTTGTCCACTGTGAGGCACCAGGCACTATGATCTACTCACCTCATAGTACAAGATTGGGATTCTGCTGCGAAATCGAGGTAATTGTGAGACCGGTGTCTTCAGGCCTCATCACCTCGTCATTAATATAGTTCAAACGCGTTTATTATCGTGTACCGCTGGCCACAGCTTTGGGGATCGTGAGCACTCTTTTGTGGTCAATTGTCAATTACATGGAGCAACCATGATCATCCTCCTCGCTTCCCTTGAGTATAAACGCGTTCTGCCATCCTCAGATGAAACAAAAGGCAGGAATACGTACAGAAGAATCTTACCGCCCCAATTTCAAGTTATGCGCTGGGACAAGTTTTAGAGTCTCATATGAAAGGACAATTCGGCAAGTCCCGGCGTGGACCACAATGACAGATATATTCCCACATATGCTTTGCCCGCGCTTGAGTTGAATACCACGTCCATGTCTGATTTAGCTCGCACGGCGTCCCCATTATCTTCCTCTCCGGGCCGCAGCGACGCGAATTCATTTGACAAGCCTGCCTGGCCGTGGCAGTCTCGGTAAGCTTCGAACTGTCCGCATGCCGGCCCCCCTTACTTAACAGCTGCTTCATCCCAGCTACTCGCGCCGACAGTCGAGTTCGCTGTCAGCAGTTTCCTCAAGCTCTAATCTTCAAACGCCGTGGGAGGGCCGACCGGGCTCGAGCCAATCAGGGACGTCTTATTCGGGCGGGGGCTCGTGGCAATCACAATCCACCATGAGGCAGAGTCAGCAACGTGACATCGGTTCTGCGGTAGGATTTGGGACAGTACAGGATGAATCTACTCGACAGTGGACTTTCTTGGTTTGTAGTTTGGTCGAGTGTTTGTCGCGCGTCTTTGACGCAGTGCTCAGGGTTTCGAATGGGTTGTCCGAGACGTTCACAAGGTGCGCCCAGTCCCTTGTTTATTGCCGAGACTTACAGTACGTCAACCAGCTCCGGGAATTTCTGGAAGGCGTAGAGCCTGAGGTGGTCGAAGATGACGCTAGTTCCAGTGTTGGCCCGGACAGTTTTGATATCCTCAAGAATGCGCCTTTGATCGGAGAGAGCGAGTTCAAATTGGAAATCTGTATGTTGAATTTTAGCACTCTGACCTCTGTACTGACCCTTCAATCGAGCTCACATTCAACCTGCTGAGCATGAGAACAAGCATTCATCTCTGTCGTTGTATATCACTTCCCTGAGAGACTTTGCGCACAACTACGAGATGAACGCCAGCATCATGGTGGCCATCAAGTCACAGGACGATCGAGTCGGTGTGCGTGTCGAATGGGTCTGGGACTTTTGGCAGCATGAATGGATATTCCGACGTGAATCAGAAGTTTGGGGTGAGGACCAATTCAGATGCACAAATGCATACTGGGACTCATCCTCGTTTTCAGACTGCATTCTTCCGCCATTGTCAGCCCTTCTCGAGAATGACAGGATTCAGAGAACGGATGCCTTCACGATATGCGTTCAAATACACTCTCCGATCGGACCTTTCTTTCCCTCACAGCCGACCGCATACTACGTACCACGAGATCTTCTCGACGGCATCGAGTCATCTTTGGATAACGCTAGTTCGTCTCCCTCTCTTTTTGACCAGACAGGCCGCTCACCTCGCGGACAGACACGGGGGATGTTCGCTTTGTATGTCTGGAACGAATGGCCCTCGATTCCGACATTCCTTCGACACCGATCTCAGAGAATCGCACGCCTCCTTCAAATCCTCGTCCCTCATCCTCTCAATCCCTGTTCTCACCTCAGACGACTGCGCGCAAGCGCATCATATATGCTCATTCAGGTGCGCACTGCTCCAGCGCCACGGTCTCTGTTGACAATCAGACAGATATTCTGAGCCGGCGTTCAGAATACTTTGGAACTATGTTGGCGTCTTCATTTGCAGAAACAAAAGGCATCACTGGTGATAGGAAGCTGTACACTATCGTCGTAGAAGAGGCTGACTTTGAAACGGTGCGCTCATGTTGGAACGCCCATACTATTTGCTCAACGGCCCTTAGATGTATTGGCTGCTCAAGTATTGCTACGCCAATTGGCTCTCGTTCAAGGAACACGATGATCCTAGACTGGCTGTAGAAGGCATCGGAGCAGGATGGAGTGCCAAGTGGCTCAGTTCTCGTGGAGGGGACTGGGACTGGAAGACCTTCCGTAAGGTGTCGGGCGACGGCGAGAGCACTGTTGGAGATGCCAGAAGCGCTACGAGCGCGGATGATGTCATTCAAGAACCCATTTCCCCGTCTCATGGAAAAGGCAAAGCTGCCCTGGTCCCGGAGCCTGCATCCACGTCCCGCTCATCAACTCAGGCCCCGAAAAGCGCACCAAAAGTGATTTCTAATTCTGCTAGCTCTTCTCGCCAGAACCCTTCAAGTTCTTCCCGACGGATAACTCAGCCGCCAGGCCCAAACATGGGTCTCACTTCCTCAGGCGGTATCACACGATCAAAACCGATAGCCGTGGCAACCGGAAGTCCTGGTGGATTTCCTGCTGCTGGGCATTATCCAATATCTCCACGGAACGTGCGGTCTCATCAGTCTCTGAGCGTCACAACCGGGGATCCACATGCGCACCCAACTGCTGCACCGCCTTCTGCCTCGGCACTCTCTGTGTACCAGCTTGCTCATCGATACGAGATGCCTGCGTTGGGTGCTTTAGCTCTCGATCACATGATGTCTACCATTACCCCTTCGTCGTCCTTTGGCCTTCTATTAGCCACCTCAGTCTGGGACGAGTTGCATTCTCTTGTTCAAGATTACGTCGTGGATAAGTGGGAAGAAGTTTCTTTGTCTGAGGAGTTCGAGCAGTGTTGTCGTGAGATATCTGCTGGAGAGTGCGTCCTGGTCTCTTCCCTTGCCTTTAATCTGCTGACTTGTATGTTTAGATGGGGACCAGAGGGTGGGAAGACTCTTATGGCCTTATTCAGGCGCTTGCGCTCGCCTTCCGCACTGGCTTATGCTCGTACATAGACCGTGATCCGGCTGTATTTCTAGACATGAACTATCTACGCTTTTCGCTTGGAAGAAGTCCAGAGTAATAGGCCAACAAGTTGAGCCGACACTCGAGTCGAAGCGTGGCGCGATCAGCCTGTTGACGTATCTATCATTCACACTTGGCGTCAACCAACCGACACATGGGCTGCTTATCTACCTTTCTCTCGCGCAACCATGATCTCACTCCGCGCTAGCGTGTTCATTCGCCTGCAAGGGAGTGCCCGCCGATTCGCCTCCGAAGCGCCTGCGTTCCGCATTCCATTGGTCGATTTCTCGAAATTCCGGGCAGGATCGCCCTCGGAGAAGAAGGCCGCTGCGAACCAGATCGTCTCTGGGTTTAAGGAGAGCGGATTCATTTACTTGCGTGGGCATGGAATCTCTTCTGGTGCGTTTGAATCAGCTAAGCAATAGAATCACACCCTTGAGCGCTCTTCATCCAGCTGTCATCCAGAACGCATTCACCCAGGTGCGCATCAGATCGTTGGCTTAGCGTCATAAATTCACAGCTTGTGTATCTAGAGCGCACAGTTCTTTCGCCTGCCGAATGAGGTCAAGGTACGGGCGCGTCATAAAACCCACCAGAGTTGACAGCCAGACGCTTGCAGGACACTCTTGCCTGGGAGGACCCACGGTCCAACCGAGGTTACGTCAAATTCGGTCGCGAGCGTGTAACCAATTCCACGGATCCGGCGGAGATCGCAGCTTTACGCGCTAATGCGCCTGACTACAAGGAGACGATGGAGATCGGGAGGGACTGGGACTCTGCGTGGAAAAACCAATGGCCTCAACGCAGCGACGCACCGACCTTCAAACCGACAATGCTGGATTTCTTTCAGAAGTGCCACGAGCTGCATACCCATGTGATGCGCTCCATTGCTGTCGGCCTAGACATGGAGGAGGGATGGTTCGACGACAAGATCCAGGAGCAGTGTCACAATCTCCGGCTGCTGTCGTATCCCCCGGTGAAGCGCTCGCTGCTGGAGACTGAAGGAACGGCAAGAGCGGGTGCTCACACAGGTTGGTTGCTTCATCATGTTGTCCCGCTAAGATGAACGCCGAACACAGATTATGGGACCTTGACCCTCTTATTCCAGGATGCGGTCGGCGTCTTTGTCTGCTGATCACGATGCCGGACTGACCCGTTTGCTCTCAAGGTGGGCGGACTGCAGGCCCAGAACCCACACACGGGCCTTTTCGTTCCTGCTGCACCCATTGTAAGATTCCGTGCCCCGCCTGAGATCCATAACTGAAGGAACCACTGCGCAGCCGGACACCATCGTCATCAATGTCGGAGACCTCCTGGCTCGTTGGAGCAACAACACTCTGCGGTCCACTCTCCACCGTGTCGTGGCACCGCCTGCTACCGTCATCAATGCTGGGGAAGTGATTACTCCCGCGCGCCAGTCGATCGCGTTTTTCTGCAACCCCAACTTTTCCGCTGAAATCGCGTGCCTGCCCAACTGCGGAACTCCCAAATTTGAACCCGTGAACACGGAGAAGTACATCGTGGGAAGGCTGGCGGCCACTTACAGCTGAGCGTCTTGGCATTGAATCAACGGGTATTCTGTGGGTGTAATCGGCCTTCTAGCATGGGCGGTCTGATTCAAATGGGAAATTGAAAATAAGTTCTAGCCAGACTATGTAACTTGTGCCTTGAGAGTTGTTTACCACCGGGTCGATCTGCTGAGCAACTGGCTCTCAGATAGGAGCGTCGCGGTCATGTGATGTGCCCACGTGTCTCAATCTTCAATCGATAAACCGAATCGCTGATACGCTGTTTCTAAGTTACTGTCAGCGTTATCTTCTGTCAAAACCAAATACACCAGTCATTGGGTCAAGCCCCTGTGAAATCCCCGAGTTTCTTTGCCCAGCTATTCGAGGCCGTACCTGAACACTCCCTGCAGCTGCAGTACGACCATCAATCAAAGATTCGGGGATGCAATTCGGATGCCATCGAGCGACATGAGAGTTTGCGGATTCGGACTCTTCGAATGCCGGATGCGCGTTGACCCTAATATTATCAATCAATGTGCATATCGTATATATGTAAGACCCACTCACGCTGTGGTGCCCCCACATGTCTGCCACTGCTGGGCTTCCTCTGCCCTCTTACACCTCCCCCTTGCATTCCGTGTCAAGCCGCACCCCGTCATACTCCGTAGAGCCTGGAGTCTACGAGCAACGCCTAGCTCTAAACCACCGCCGAGTCTCAGCGCCCACAGGCGCCTTCATCAAGTCTTCGAAAAGTGGGGATGCTCGACTCCGCTTGACTGCCCAAAAGGACGGAGCAGAGCTTCCCGTGTATGGGAATGGAGGGAACGTCGAAGGGACTGTCGAGTTGAGCAAAACCGAACATATATCCACCGTGGAAGTCAGGGTGCGCATCCGTCGGGCATGTTCGGCGTGCCAGGGCCCTGTTCACACGTACTAGGTCGAAGGCCGGCTGAGCCTGCGTGAGATGGGTGAGGGTGGTCGTGCGGATACGACCATATGTCTTGATACGACGCTGTTATGGATCAGAGACGAGCGCAACCCGACTTGCCCGTCGTCTCTGCAGTTCTCACTAAAGCTTCCTGCGACGTTCGGACTAAGCGGTCAAACTTTCGTGCGTGCGCTTGACCGGCTAGTACTGTCTATGATTCTCAGCACGCGCTCAGCCTCTTCCACCCTCACACTCAATCAAACTCAAGGGTCTACCCGGCTTCTATGCCGACATCGAGGCACGCTTTATTTTCATTCTCTAGACTCTTGAGTTTCCTTATCTTACCCGCGGCGTAGTATTCGGTTAGCGCCGTCATCAACAAACCCCGTGCACTGCCGAATATTGTTCCGCTTGTAAAGTCCAAGAAACTGGGCATCAATATTGGCAACACGACGGTGTCGACACCGTTCATCTACTATCCGCGAACACGCCCCGGCGTCGCGCTTCCGTCACCTATGCAGCACGTTGCTACCGGATTCATCGAGGCACCCGGCTGGAAAGTTTACAATTACATGGTGAAGGCTAACAATCGTACGGGAGCTCAAAACATCAACGTCAAGTTGTATCTTCCAGGTAATTACTTGCCTTTGCCACCCACCGCGTCCCAGCCTAGAACTCGATTTCAGCATCCCGCATCTTCTGTTCGACTCAGACCATTCCATTCTACGCGACATTCGAAGCTGGGAATGCGTTCTCGCTTGCCACGTTCCTCCCGTATGCGCCAGTGGCCGGCAGGACGGGAGCTACGACCAGGCTCCAAATGATGCGGCAGTCCACAGTTGATGTCCGTGCGACGAATACCGGGCGTTCCATGACTGAGATCTGGCGCGTGGACCAGATCGGGGAAGGTGTCTTTGAGCACATCAGTGACGGCCCGACATGGATGTCTTTCTCTGGCACACTCGAGCTCGATCCAGTCAAAGTGACGGGCTTCAACATCGGCCGGCTGTCTGTCGTGGTATGTGATGCTGCCAGTTCATTTGACATACATATTTATGACGTGAAGGACTGCTTGCTGTTCACCGTCACACCGCCCGATGTGACGAAAGCGGCGTTCGTGGGCATCCGCCACATGATCCCTGTCCGTCTGACCACCGACCCATGGTCAGAGGATGGACGAGGAATGGCAGCGCGGGACAATTTCTCAGTTCCCTCATCACCCGATGACGACTCGAAAAGCTTTCATGCGTTGTAACCTCTATTTGTATGTATCAGTACACGATTAGTGTTGAATTAGTACCAAATGCTCCGAGTCCTGTGGATAGGAACCATCTCCTGCGTCGTCTCCAGCCCTTCGATGTGTTCTTCGCCGCGTTCGATCTTCTTCGCAAGATCCCACAAATAAAAGTCGATCAGCACACTGCTAACTTCATCTCTTGCTAGCGAAGTCATCTCAGCCCGCACTCGCTCAACTGCAACGATGCTCGCTGCTCGCAAGCTCAACTCCTCGGCACAACCCGGAGCAAGAATGGCTCCGGTGTTCAACAGCTCGACAAGCGCCGGCGGATAGGACAATATCTTCAGATGATGCAGGATCTGTGGCACACGATAATCCGCAAACATGGTCAACTTGTGGATGGCCGGACCGACACGTCCCGGGAAAAGCGGATGTGGAGTGTTTGACGCAGGATAGAATGCGGCCCAGATCTCTGCCACCAGAATCTGAGCACGTTTCCATAAACAGACTGACAAGGTTCCCTTGAGCGATGTCACCGAAACTCCTGTTCCTCTCCCTCTCACCTTTTCTGCTTTGGAATTGAACCTCGTCTCGGAATGAGGGGAAAGTTTCCACCACTTTCTTGACCAATTGAAGAGCTGTTCCTTGGACGCCGTATTCACTCTGGAATGCATCCAAGAAGCCCTGGAAGGAACCTCCAAATTCCTAGTCGAACTTGTCATGAGCGACTCCCAGGCTGCAGGACTAGAAACTTACTCGACAGAGAATGGATCCTACTTCTCTCATGATTCTGATCCGGTGGGCCAACAGCGGTACACTTTCACTGCAACCCTCCGCCGGCCGAAACACATGCTCAATCAATGCATCCGGACACAGCGTCGCTGAAGAATAAAATGCTGGATCTGTGATCGGAATCTCGTCGTCTCGAAGCGCTGCATAGTCGCAATCAGTATGAACGAACGCACGTAATTACTGGGGCTCCCACCTCGATTCAGAGCGGCGACGAGACTCCAGTACCCAGTCCACACCTTCTCCGGGGCATCAGGGGCCCAGCTCTCCCTCCAAGCAACCCCGTAGCGATCCGCATGTCCCTCGCGCTCCGACCAGAAACTAAAGTTCAGCGATGAGATCAGGAATATCCAGTTCAGACACGCGGCGGTTTGCGGGTCCGACGAGGAGTACGGCTCGGGAGGACAGATGTGTAGTGGGTGCGTGCGCCAGGTGCGTGGTGTGTACGACTCGCTGCGCATTTTGTCGTGAATCTAATAACGGCCACGCTTGATTGTCTTGCAAAATTGGACTATTGGGAGCGGAGACGTTCACATACGTGTCTGGCGGCGAATTTGACTCCGTTCTCATTGATCAGGACGACGTGAGTTTTCTGATCAATAAGGGTTCAGTATAGAAAGGTCTGTTGCGAGACACGGTCCACATACACGATATGCGAATTCCGCGCTTTCTACAACTGGGTTGAGGTCTTCCGCGGTGGGCAGGAACTCGCTCTTTTCGGAATGCCCATGTACGGCGTCGTGCGTACGCGAGAGAATGACGACCTTTGCCATGGTCTTGACTCTGTAGGAGGTTGGACAGGAAGGGAAACCTTGGGAAGTCTGGAATTTGAAAAGTTTGGTCGGCAATCACCGTGCACCGCCACCTGTCTTCCCGTGCCGACTGCCAGAATTTAGAACAAACTTCAAACAACCTGGAATAGGAATCGATGTTTACTCAGTCCTCAGTATTCTTGAGAAGTCATACAATCCACAGATATTCCGAAAATAAAATCCGAAAGGACAGAGGAAGAATTCAGACCTGCAGCAGTCATGTGTCGCGAGTTTACGAAACCGATCACAGGAGAAAGATGCATGGGTTGCGTATATGTACGTATAGAATAGATAGAATGCACATGGGTCGCGAGATAACTACAAAACTAAGCATGTGATCATAGGAATCGAGGCATTTCGAATCTACTTCTTGCTGCGGAAGAGACCCATCGTATGTTGGCCACCGCAGGACACCTTCTCGGCCGTCCAAGAGCCTCCTTCCCGACGGACAATCATCTTTGGAGTGGGCACTTCCAGATCGGGAACACCCAACTCGCCCTGAACTCCCTGTCCCCAACAGAACAATGCGCCGGCTTTGGTGATTGCCATATTGCTGTGCAAGCCAGCGGCAACATACACGACAGGATCCTCCTCATCCTCGTCGTCGTCTGGGAAGGCGATCAAGGCCGGTTCGGAGATGAACTCTTTCTTCGGGTCGCCTTCCCAAGCTGGATGGTCAGGTGCCAGCCCAAGCTGAGAGCTGTTAGCACGGCCACAGGCGTAGACCTTGCCATCCGACGTGAGGAATAGGGTGTGGTGGTTTCCACCGCTAATTTGAACGACAGTTGCTCCGTCGAGCTCTTCCTTGCTCAAACCGATGACTCGCTTCGGGAGAGGAACCGTTTCGTCTTCCGGGCCGTCCAGACCGGTACCGGCTTGGCCCAGGCTGTTCAATCCCCAGCCCCAGACGGTCCCCTTCTCGTCAACAGCGAACGAATGGTAGATGCCAGCCCCGATCACAACGGCCCGGAGGGAACGAGTGCCAAGAATAACCCGCTGTGGGTTGGTACCCTTCATCTGATGGCGCTCGAGGACCTTGCGTCCGAGCTGTGATTGCTGGCCGGATCCCCATGAGAAAATATGGCCATGTGTAGTCAGCGCGAGAACGTGGTTTGCCCCTGTTGCAACAGCGGAAAATTTCTCGTAGTCCCCGGGCTTATGAATGAGATCCATGCTGACTGGAACAGGAACAAATTGATGTCGGGCCGACTCCGAGAAGCCGAGCGAGCCCTCATCTGCCTGAACACTAGATGAGTTTCTGAGATGGATCCGAGCACGAGATTGTACTTACTCGGAAAGAGCCCCACAGTCTTATGTCACCGTTGGTGTCGAGCGCTACACATATACTGTCCCCAGTCGCAACCTGGACGGCACGGAAGTTTTCCTTCACCAATGACTCGATGGGGTGCGGGATGCTCGTCAATGTGCCTTCGGGGTCCGAGACACCTTCTGTGACTCGCCCAAGAGCAGCATCATCGTTGACGCCGCATGTCCATACCTACTCGAGGCCATGAGCGTTAGAACAGGTAGCCTGGGGAAGGGACTTACAGTTCCCTTCTCGTCAATGAAAACAGTGTGCATTCCACCAGCAGCCACGGTCTCGATGCCAGCCTTATCTGGACCGAATGCCCCCTCCTCAATCTGTTCTGCGACCCAAGCATGTTTCTTCGGCTTATCAAATTCACCGAGGAAATCTGGTCCCATCCCAAACTGCCCAAAGTTGCCAGCGCCCCACGCAAAGACCTGCAGCCCTGGTCGTTTCTTCTCAGGAGGGGTCGGGAGACCATTGAAATACGGCTTTGACTGCGGTATAACAGTGATCTCCTTCTTCTTGCTCTTCTTGTCTGCAGCGTGGGCCACGGGCTCTGCCGGATCGATGTTCTCTGGACTCGTGGCCTTCTTGGAACGTTTTGGCGGCGGGGATGGCGCTCGCTCGGGAGATGCTGCGCGCTTTTTGGTAGCCTTTGGCGCGGGCTTGACCTTGGATGGTGGTTTCGCGGCCGCTTTGGGCGCAGGCGGTTTAGGTGCGGGCCCAGACTTGGAGGGGGGAGCGCGGGAAGAGCGCCTGAGCGGTACGGCTTCAGGGCTCATCTGAGGCGACGATGAGTAGAGGGCCTCGAAAGACGCGAGAGAGTGTTTACGTTAAGAGACAGCTCAAGCTGATAGGCAGTGGTGGCAAAAAGCAAAAGCGGAGTCCAAGTTGTAATCGTGCCCGGGTTTGTGTTGGTCAATGTTTGCCTAGTACCACGTGAGGAACGCGTCGCGTCTCAGGCGCGCTGATTGCCGGTCCTGGTCCCGGCAGGCAGAGGCTTGGAATTGTTGACAGGAACCATGCTTGCTCAAGCGAAATGCGCGTTCCGTCCCTCTGCCTCCTGCCGTTGGCTTCATAAAGCCAGATACCCCCTTTTCTTCCGAGTTCTCTTCCCTCCTTGACACAGTCTCGCGAAGAGATTCTGGTGACAAACCCGGCGGATGGGACGCCACTTTGTATGTGCGTAGTCGACTTCTCCAGAGGCTCGCCACTGAAAAGCACTGTAAGAGTTGAGGCCGCTTCGGATGCGGATGTCAAGGAAACTGTGGCCAGTGCACACTCCGTGTTCCAATCTGGCATCTGGTCCAGGGCACCAGCCCTACAACGATCTAAAACGCTATCACGATTAGCACGAGCACTGGAAGAACGAATAGGCGAATTTGCAGAGATCGAGACCAGACAGACGGGTCGTGCCCTTCGGGAGATGAAAGCACAGCTGGGCCGCCTACCTGAATGGATGTGCGTGGCCATGTGCATCGTATCTTGGACAGATAAGTAAAGATCGTGTGGCTTCTCAGTGACTACTACGCGGCTCTACTACGGACTCAGCAAGCCTTTGTGGCTCCGACTCAAGGGCCGTTGCTCAACTATGTACAGCGCGTCCCTTTGGGAGTGGTGGCCCAAATCACTGTCAGTACTGCATGTCCGGTGTCCGTCTGGGAACTGAATGCCCCAGCCTTTCAATCATCCACTACTCATTGCTGTCAAGAAGATTGCGCCAGCACTTGCGGCAGGTACTCATTGCTCTTCGGCATTGATCTGGCTTCTCAACTTTACCCAGGAAACTCTGTCATCGTGAAGCCTTCTGAAGTGAGTGGACCAATCCTATGCCTGGGCGATGTTATGAATGTCTCCAGCTCGCTCCCATATCTGTGTTGGAGTTCGCTCATCTAGCAGAAAGTGTCGGCCGTAAGGAGTCAAAAGATGACATCTGCGTCAACTTATCTCAACGTCTCACCCTGCAGTGCCTGACGGTGTTCTTTCAGTCTTGCCTGGATATGGGAGCACCGCACAATCATTGTCGGAAAATCCTTTGGTTCGCAAGGTTGATGTTACAGTGGGTCCTGATATCTCCAGTCATCTATCAGGCTGTAAGCCGGTCAGGCAGGAACACATACCGGACGGATACTTGGTGGTATAGTTGGGAGGAATCTTGCTTCCTTCACCGCAGAGCTTGGTGGAAAGGCGCCGATGGTCGTGTTCAAAGACGCCGACATCCCATCGGCAGTAAACGGAGCGGCATTCGCGGCATTCGTGGCTTCCGGTCAGACCTGCGTGTCCGGAACGCGCCTGATTGTCCATGAATCGATATGGGACACATTCATGCCCTTGTTCGTCGATAAGGCTGAAAGTATTCGTAAACGGATGGGCAACCGTACGTCGCCCCTTCCGGCTATCCTTCCGATACTGATATATCACAGCGCTCAATCCCAAATCCACAATGGGGACTGTGATCTCTGAGCGGCATCTCGCTCGAATCCAGGCTATGCTCGATCAACCGACCCAAGGAGACGTTTTGACCGGGGGCCAACGAATGTCTGGTGCATCGGCTCTCGATGGCTTCGACTTTAGTCAAGGCTCCTTTTATCCCCCGACTATCATCGCCAACATTGACACCTCCAATCTTTTATGGCAAGAGGAGATTTTTGGGCCTGTGGTTGTCGCAGTCAAGTTCTCGGTATGTCTGCGGACTGCGAAGGTCTTGACAAGATGGCTCAAACCTGCACGCAGTCGGAACAGGATGCGGTGAAATTGGCCAACGACTGTAAATATGGCTTGGGTGCAAGTCTTTGGACACAGAACCTGTCTCGTGCGCATCGAGTTGCCAACAAAATCGAAGCCGGGCTGTGTTGGGTCAATACCGCCCATCGCAATGATCCTTCGAGTCCTTGGTAAGCGGCGTTCTCTGACCTTAAATCGTCTTGGAATAAGTTTGTCAGGGGTGGGATGAAAGAGAGCGGGATCGGCCGAGAGAATGGAGTCGAGGCATTTGAATCGTGTAAGTCTTGGAATCATCTTTCCGTGAATGATACCATCCCCCTGCAGATTCCCAGAGCAAATCTGTGATCGTCAATATAGCGACGGCTGAGAGAACACGGGAAACAGACGACTGGTTCGCAGAAGACGTTGAAGGACGTCGGTATGGTTAGTTTGGGGGTTGATGGGGTTTGTAAATCTTTGACACCAGTTACTCAAAATCAAGCTATTATCACTTTGTTGGTAGCATTCCCAGTTGGGAATCTGCAAGTAGTCCATGATTTACAAGTCCGTTCAATAAGTTTCCCAAAATACATCCGGAAGAACCTGCCGCATCACTAGTAGGGAACATCAGTCATCAGTCAGTCTTAACAGTCCACAAGACTTACGTTGCCAATGATGATGTCCCTGGGCGTCTTGTAATTTCCCTAGTGGATTGTGTTCGTCGGTAAGTACATAGTTTTCATCGTCCAGCTCCCCAGTAAGCAGCTCATAAGCGACCTCTCGCTCTAGCAAGGACGAGAGCATGCTTTCTCGCAGCCATGAATGAAGGAAGTCCGATTTTCGAGCGGGACGGAAGGTGAGCGGTCGCAGAGGACTGCAGAAGAACACCTTCAGACTGCATTAGTCGACGCCTTGCAACTGCTCGAAACAACGCACAAAGTTCATCAACTCAGTTTCGTATTGCTCGATTTTCAATGACTCGGGGCTGTCATGGAATGCTCGGCAATGTCCGAAGCTTTTGAGCAAAGTCTGTGAGACTAAACGAGTTGCTTCGGATGTGACTGTCCCAGCGATGTTCTGTTGGCATTGTTTGGATCAAGGCTGGGAACAGCTGATGCACCCACTCACCACTACCAGAACACCTTCCGGATGCAACGTAGTTCTGAGTGCATTCCAGAACTCCAGCGTGAAGATGTGTTCGGGAACGCCACCACCTGGCTGAATCGTGAGTCACATCTCAACTGCAATCAGTCTTTCTTACCAGAGAAGCAATCGTGCACGATAATATCAAAGACATTCTCTTCATTTCTAGCCTCGATGCTGGCCTGTTTTCGGAAGACCCACCGCCTTGCGTCCTCGAGGAACAGATTCTCAGAATCATGTTCCGGGAGCCCAAAGTACAGCCGCGCAGCGTCATAAACGGCCGGGTCGATCTCGACAATAGTAGTCTCAATTCCCAGTCGGCGGAATCCACTGGCGGAGATTCCTGCGCCCAAGCCACTGGTGATCGCTGAGAAATGGAGGTAGAAGACTAGACGAGGCAACTGACATGATGAGAGCCCGGTCCCAGGTCCCAGCAACACCCTTCTTCGTGCTATTGACCAGGCGCACCGCCTCCTGCAGAACGAACGTCGCATAGATCGAATCTCCTAGGGCAGTGCCAAAGGAGTCCGTGGGAGGTGGCGCGGAATCAAGTGTGGCCACCTTTGCGCCCATCCACGTTCCGCCCAGTAGAGAATGTGACGCTCGCAAGTATCGAAGCGAATGCATCTCGGCATCCGCCCCACCCCGATAGCCCGGTGGAGGGAGAGCCTCTCCGACCACGATGAGGCCCGTCACTGACTGTACCGCGGAGTGGATGAGAAGAGGGAAGCTGGGATGCGAGTACGGCTCGGGCAAAGGGTGCGGCAGCACTGGCGAAGAGAGCACATGCCGACCCTTCCACAACACGTAGTTTGCGAAACCGATCACAAACGCTCGTAGATAGGGATTCGAGGCGATTCCACTCGGCTTTTTCTTGCGTGGTATTTGCCCGCGGCGGACAGCAGACGGTGCCGGATTTGGGTCGTATGAGAGCAACCAGAAATTGAGCAGCGTAGCAGCTAGCCCATGGAACTAGACACAGCGATGAGAAAGGTGAAGAGTCAAGGTTAGATGCAACCACACGCACCACGTATGTCTCCGAGACACTATCCAGAAACGATGCTCTGCTCCAGACGCCCGCAAGCTTCACCGCGGCAATAACGCACACTATTCCCGAAACAAGACGGCGCACAAGCGCAGTTCTGATGAGACCGAAGGGCTGCGGTCATGTCAATATCAGACTAGGGTGCGGCAGGAGGACACGTACGAGGATTTCCGCGACCAAAACATTCAGCACTAACACCAGCGGAACCAGCGCGACTGTGTGTGTAGCGATTGGACCAAGCACAGGCCACCCCAGCCGTGCAGACCACAATGTCGTCCAATACACCGTCAACGGCGCGACCGAGAACAAAAGACTCGCGTAGAGCAGTACGCTCGATGCTGACACGTGGCCGAAAGGATGGACGGCAGCGAGGAGCGAAGCAGCGACGACCGTAGAGTCTAGAGCGTAGGTGGTCGGCCCGGAAGCGTACATGGGCACCAAAGCGCGCTCATAGATGAACCTAACGAGGGACAGTGCGAGGAGGATGGCTGAACCAGCGCCAACTCGGCTCATTTGGCCCAAAGGCCCTGCTGGCCAGGACATTTTGGATGGGTGAAAGATTTTGACTTGGCAAATGATCAAATAACGTATCCCATCTAGAGGCCGTGTGCGGGCCAAGAATATGAAGAAACACGGCGCTTGGCAACAGTAGGATCAGGTGTGCTAGACATTGACATTACTGACACGATCACGTGATATGTAGTCAGGGTTCATGATCAGGTTCTCGAAGTTGAACTTGACAACGTTTGAACGTCAACAACAGGACCAGCTCATCGGAACAGCCCTGAAATCCTGCATGAGTCAGGGAAAAATCTATCACCGAAACTCTCCGTAAGAATGTGATGTGTTGTGCCCCGGTATGCACTGATTCACCATACTGTGCCAAAAGCCGTAAGTACCCGTAAATCTTCAACTTGGTCTCAAGTGAAGCCGAGTAAGTTGCCGCGCGGCTGGGAATTTCGGATTCGCCGGAGACTCTTCAAAGTGCTCCCATACCTTACCACAGAAACAGCCTACGGGGTGTACCCTCCATATGATTTTACTGCCCGGTTTTCGGACATTCTTCAATCAGAGCCTTGTTAATCTTGGCAGTCAGCTCAATAGAATGCGAATCAATCCTGTCAGTTCATCGTAGAATCTTACTTTTGACTCTGAAACAGACTATTTCATACACATTGAAAGGCTCGTTTGAGGCCGAAGATACGGAAATGATAGACATCGCAGAGGGAGAATCTCACTTTGTTGTTGAGCATACAAGATAAACTCCATCCAATCGAAGTTCTCCAACCCCGAGGATTTACTAATTGGGAACATAGGCGTAGCGGATCTTCGATTTGACACGATCGACGTCACTGTTCATAAGCTCCATTAGGGACGCACTCTTTCTCCCTTCCCCATAACACCACGATGCCAACCGCACCTCTTGATCCTCAAACGGTGCTCAAAGTCGACGGATATCTCGAGCCGAACGTCAACTCCATTGTCCATCGACACGACGTCTTCAGGAAGTGGAAAGATACTATCGAGGAGTGCGAGGGCGGATATGATGCCTTCACCAAGGGATATCTTAAGTTCGGGCTCAACGTGGGGCCCAAAAACGAGGTCGTGTATCGCGAGTGGGCGCCCAACGCTGTCGAGGCGTGCCTCATCGGAGATTTCAGTCAGTCCTGTATGCGCTCACTAGGCGCGTCATTGACTCGCCTCTAGACGACTGGAATAGAGTCTCCCACCCCATGAAAAAAGACCAGTTTGGTGTGTGGGAGATCACCGTTCCACCCACAGGTGGTGGAGCTTGTGCTATCCCTCACGACTCCAAGGTCAAGGTATGTGGACTGCATACATGTGCCTGACATGACAGCGCGGTCTGACCGGACACGTCGACAGATTTCCATGATTATTCCATCCGGCCAGCGCATAGAGCGTCTGCCAGCCTGGATCAAGCGCGTTACGCAGGATTTGAACGTCTCCCCCATCTACGACGCGCGATTCTGGAACCCGCCTGCCTCCGAACAGTACGCTTTCAAGAACGCGCGTCCCGCCAAAGCGAAGGATCTGCGTATCTACGAAGCGCATGTGGGCATCTCGACCCCCGAAGGCCGGGTTGGAACCTACGCGGAGTTCACGAAGAATGTTCTTCCCCGCATCAAGAATCTGGGGTACAACGTGATCCAGCTCATGGCAATCATGGAACATCCGTACTATGCTTGTGAGCCAGCACATAACACCACTTCTGTTTCTTATCGGGGTCCGTCTAGCTTTCGGATACCAAGTGACTAGCTTCTTCGCCGCAAGCTCTCGTTATGGCACACCCGAGGAGCTCAAAGAGCTCATCGACACCGCGCACGGCATGGGGCTCACGGTTTTGCTGGACATCGTCCACTCGCATGCGTGCAAAAACGTCCTTGATGGGCTGAATGAATTCGACGGCACCGATCACCTGTATTTCCACGGAGGCGCAAAAGGTCGACACGAGCTCTGGGACAGCCGGCTCTTCAACTACGGGTCACACGAAGTGCTTCGGTTCCTGATGAGCAACCTTCGATTCTACATGGAGGAGTACAAGTTCGACGGTTTCCGCTTCGACGGCGTGACGAGCATGATGTATGTCCATCACGGCATCGGCACAGGCTTTTCTGGAGGTTATCACGAGTACTTTGGAGACGGGCAGGATATCGAGGGTGTCGTGTACCTCATGCTGGTGTGTGCGCTTCATTTTTGACTGCTCAGGAGTTAGAAGTCTCTCCAGGCCAACGATGCTGTTCACTCGCTCTATCCCAACGCCATCACAATCGCCGAGGACGTGTCCGGGATGCCACTTCTGGGAATGGACGTCTCTAAAGGCGGTGTCGGTTTTGACTTCCGGCTGTCGATGGCGATACCGGACATGTGGATCAAACTGCTCAAACACAAGCAGGATGACGAGTGGGACATTGGGAACATTGTGCACACGCTGACCAACCGGCGATACGGCGAGATGAGCATCGCGTACTGCGAGAGCCACGACCAAGCGTTGGTTGGCGATAAGACTCTGGCATTTTGGCTGATGGACAAGGAGATGTGTGAGTTTCTTTCTTCGTCTCTACGATTTGAACTGACAAGGTCCAGACACGAACATGTCTGACCTCAGTGAACTCACTCCCATCATCGCCCGTGGTCTCGCCCTCCATAAAATGATTAGGTAAGGGTTTGTTTTACTCGTGGCGACGTTGAAACGAAACGAACCCTAGACTTCTCACGCAATCTCTTGGCGGTGAGGGCTACCTTAACTTTGAAGGCAACGAGTTTGGTCACCCAGAGGTTTGGACTGGATCCTTATCGTTCATTCCACATCCTGAATCTTGCGCATAGTGGCTCGACTTCCCTCGCGCAGGGAACGACAACTCGTTCCATTACGCGCGTCGACAATGGAATATCGTGGACGACCCGATACTTAGGTACCGTTATCTGAACGAATTCGACGCGGCGATGAACCACATGGCGGGGCACTACGGGTGGCTGGAAGCGCAACCCGCATATGTTTCTTTGAAGCACGAGGGAGACAAGGTGATCGTGTATGAGCGTGCGGGGCTCCTGTTCGTGTTCAACTTCCACCCTACATCGAGTTTCTCGGATTACCGTGTCGGAGTTGGAGCTCCGGGGAAGTACAGTGTCGTGTTGACCAGCGACGAGAAGCGATTCGGTGGCTTCGAGAATGCACAGCTTGGGGGACAGTATCTTACTACGGATATGGAGTGGAATGGGCGCAGCAACTTTTTGCAGGTGCGTTGAAAGTGGTTATTATCTCTGGCCCAGAGACTGACTGAGAGTTTGCAGGTATACATCCCCGCACGAACCTGCATTGTGCTCGCTCTCACAAAATAGACTGCTCGGCTGGAATTGTACATACCGAATTGTATTTGTCTTCAGAGATTGTACGCATAGAACGGCAATGAACTGCATCATGCCATTCTCGAATATCAGCCGTCCTGAGCGTTACTCGGACTCGGCGACCGACTACGTAGGTATCAGAAACACCGCCATCTCTGAGCCTCGACGTTCGATGCCAGGTGACGTCGCGTCGGTGTCTTGTCCGCAGCTGGTCACCCCTGGTCACCCGCGATCCAGTTCCCATCCGAACGACGAGCGGCTGTCTTGTCTGTCTCCTATCTCTGAGTGGCCCCCTCGACCCAACGAGTGCTATGATCTCGGTTTTCCAGTTCTGCCGACGGGAGGATGACAGTGGATGTTTCATGTCTTGGTATCTGTAGGATGCCGAAATGACGTAAACTGACGACATCAAGTCTGAGTGACCCCTATCTGTCCTGTCAACAATCGCCAAAAGCCTAATCCAGACGCGATGTCGCTTTTCTAGTTTCGCCGAGAATCTGGATTGTGTTCTGGAGACCAAATGGCAGGACAGGAATTGACCCATGCTATGTGAGCCCGCATATGACAGACACAGCGTCAAGAATTGCTAGCTTGAGTGCACCGAGACAGGTCTCACTTCAGTGCCGCTTCCGAGGTCACTTCTGAATCAGGGTCCCATCCGTAGAGCATATAAGGACACCGCAGCCCCGAATCCCATCCAAAACAACCCTTTGTCACAACCACCATGTACACACGCACCGCATTTGCTACCATCCCCGGCTACGTCGCCTCGGGTTCTGCTCCCACGCGCGTCCCATCCCACCGCCGCCGAGCGCCGAGTTCCGTCAAGTCTATTATGAAGACTCGACCCCGACGGGACTCGGTCGCATCCGATATCTCGGACACATCCACTCTCTGCGGTGGCGGTGACGAGGAGGACGAGGACGAGGAGAACCTCAAAGGTGCCATCAGCTTCTGCCAAGATGTCGTTGTATGCAGTGAGTCCCAAATTCCTCTCCTTTTGCCTCCACCCCGAAGCTTACGATGAAACTCAGCCATCGACGCAAGGGCTCCCCACCCGGGCCGATGGACTCTGCTGCTCGACACAGTCAGCTTGCAGCGCCGCAAGTTCCCGCTCTTGCACAAGGGCCCCCGGGAGACGCTGCGGCTGAAAAAGTCCGTCGTTGCCGAGACCGAAATGTCTCAGTAGGCGGACGACAAGCGTCCAGTCGATGAGGTGGTGAGTGTCCCTTATGTTGCAATCTCTGACGGCTCCTGATGAAATCCCTCCAGCAATCACACATCGTCGCTGGATTGGAATTTTTTGCCCCCGTTGGCGTTGTACCAATAGGGGTCGGCCGATGTCGTGCCATGACTCCGATGTACATGTACTACCACCCATGTCTCGTTGTTCTAGTTGTCATCTGAAATCTGAAAGTGACCCGTGCACAAACCTGAGAGTTTCAATCTGAATCTGCTCACTTCCCATACAAGACTGAATGTCAATGATACGCCCAAGGGCCGGCCGACCGGACTAAGTGGCTCACGAGTAAATTCACCTGCAGCGACATTGGTGATACATGAACAACAAGCTGAATAATAACTTTTCAGATCTACTCGTGCACGCGGATGGTGTCCGCCAGCGCAGTGATCAAGTCAGTCAGCCGCTTGACCTCGTACTGCGCCAGAGTCACATTCTTCTCGTACTCGATGGCCTCTGACAAAGCAGGCATCGGCGTGGCACCGTAGCCTGTGCGCTGAGGTCAGACCAGGGAACCACCCGGCGCAAAGGACAAACACATACCGAGCCACTTTCCTGGCGCGATCGCCAGATGTTTGTACCACTCCCGGTCCGGAATGCCGTCCTTGGAGATAAACCCGCGCTCGAAGCTGACGAGCTTCTGGTTCACAGCGTGGATGCGCTTGACCACCTTCTTGAACTTGGCCAACGGCCACTTGGGCAGCGCCGCAACATCGAAGCCGGCATGGGCGGCGACTCCGAGAGCAGCCGAGTCCATCTCCATCTCAGAGTGGGTGCTGCTGGCACTACAGCCCTTGCCCGAGAACTGTTTCTTGCATTTGCCACCGAACACCTTCTTGATCCTGCAGATGATCTTGTGCAGTTTCTTCCTCATTTGCGAGTGGTGCTTGGCCCACTTCCGGATCATCTTCTTCAGCTCTTTCTCGGCACTGGCCTTCTCAAAGTCGAGGCTGTGGCTGGCGGCTTGCAGAGCCAGGATGGATTTGCGCAGAGGCGCGAGATCGACGCCGGTTTGCACGTCGTGTTCGAGGGCATCGATGCTGTTTGGCACTCAGTACCAAGTCGATCAGTTCCTAGACTTGGCATACCCGTTCAAGTAGTTCTGCAACTCGTAGCTGTAATGAGTCGTGTTGAGCGGCAAGACAGCAAGGGAGGCAAGTCGAATGAGTTCGAGGCCGACGTGTTTGGATACTGCCACCTGGTCGCTCGTCAGCCCAATGCACTCCTACGAGAACCAAGACATACGTGTCGGAAGAAGCCGGGGTCGGCGAAGTTCTCTTGCCAGTGCTGCGAGTCAAACACCGAGTGGTAATGGTACACCGCATCACCTGGCGCGCCGCCGAAGCTTGCATCGCTCGAAGCAACCTGGTGAAAGAGTCAGGGATTCCCACAGCAGATGCACTCTTGAAACGAACTCCGATCACTTGAAGGAATGCACTACAGAGATGTAAGCAATCGATCTCGCGCATACAACCATCAATCGTACGTGAAATCAGACCCAGAGCCCAACGGAGCGACACCCAGATCGTCTGTCATAGCCGAGGCAATGCTGTTCGCGGCCATGCTCTCGGCATCAAAGTTGTCCCCGAAGAAAGGTCCGGTATCGCTCCGAGCATCCCAAAGGCTCCGGCCAGCATCGGTGGGATGCGGGATTTCCAAGGCAGTCTCACGCAAGAAGTGCGACAGTGATGGGGATGCGCTCTGCGATACCATCAGCCCCATTGCAGGGTTTTGAAAGTAGCTCTTACCGCGCTGAAACGACTGCCGGAAATGGCGCTGTCTGCAACCTCTGTCAGTCTCATGGGTTACGTTTTGATATAAAGCTGTTACCAAGGTTGAGATACGTGACAACATGCGCGCCGATGAATTCCGAGAAGTCTTCTGCCCATCTGCACATCAAGTCAGGGTCCAATCGTTCGCAGTCAGAACAGAGCGCACTCAGTGCTGCCGATGAGACCGTATTCTTCGGCTGGAAAAGGATCGTAACCAATGTTCGTTGTCAAACCGCTGCTACGTACCATCCCACGATGCAATCACGATGGTTCGCAGGGGTTTCCAGCCTTTCTTGAGCAGGGCACCCAGTCCACGGACGACCTCATTCGTGGACGCAGTTCCGCTGGAGGGATCAGCACCGCCCATGACCTAAACCAATTGACTCAGCCGACCATCGACCAAGCAGACTCCTGAACTTACCCAGGCATCTCTGTGGTTGCCCAGCATGACGATTTGGTCCTAATCGGGTTGAGAACGGCGGAAGTGGAATAAGTGTGTAATGCATACAGTGATAAAGCCAGGGATGACGCCCATGACGTTCCAGATGGGCATCACGCGAGTATCGACTGGATGGCGCACTCAGTCCCAACCAGAAGAACAAACACAAGCTCCGTACCGTTGTTAACGAGATGGACTTCCTTGCCCTTTCCAGCAAGCTCAAGGAGCTTCGCAGCATTGGCGGCAGAGATAGGGATAGAAGGAATCTTGGGGATATTCTCGCCTTCAGTGCGGGTGCTGTTTTCGTAAGAAGGATACCCTGGGGTCTATTCCGCTCAGCGAAACTATAGCAGCAAGCTGGGTGTGAACTCCTCACTGTGGGATCGCCAGGATACTTGCTGAGGAACTGGACTGAGCCGCGCTGCACCGAGTTGAGGTTCCTTGCAGGTCCGTTCGGGTATCTGCATCCTCTCGCTCAGAGAGACTTGATAAATGATAACTAGGACACCTACGGAAGATACCCGTTCTCCTCGAGGACGGTTCCGTCATCCCGAAGGTCACTGTAGATCAAACATCTGGAGGAATAATAAATCAGAAACCATACACGCGAGCGCCCGGCACAAGGATTCACCCAGCAGCTCCGAGTTCCTGGGCACCTTTCACCTGGACATTCCATTATGTCAGTACATTCACATGGCAGAGTCAATCCGCGCGGCACCTTGAGACCCCGGAAGATGGCGCCATAGCGGGTGATGACGATGCTGCCCGTGAAATTCACGCCCTTCGCAACGAGCGCGTCGTAATCCTTGCCGAAAGCACGTCAGCGCAGAAAATAGAAGGACTGGGAGACACAGACGGACCTCCTTGCGTCCGTAGTTAGCGTAAATGAGCTTGCCCTGGACGTCGCCCTGAGCACTGAGTCCGTGGAATGCAGGAACGGCATCGAAGTACTGCCCAGCCTCGGGATCCGTGTCGTCTGCGACTTCCTCGAGCTCAGCCGTCCAGATAGAGTTACCCTCTTCGTCAATGACTTCGACCTTCCTGTCCAGCGGAGTGTTCATCACGGGGTAGTACACATCCACTATGAAAGAAGGACAAAGTCGAGTCAGCTCGGTTGATCTCTGTAGGGCCAGACGGAGCGAAACGCACTCCACGCCTTAGGCGCCTTGGTTTTGGGGATAGACAGCGTAGCATCGCGCGACTCGGCCGAGCCCGCAGGGTAGATCGGGGGCTCCGCGCCAGACGCGCTGATGCCCCATTCTTCCTGGAACATGTTCAGGAAGTCCATGGCCGTTTCGAAGTCGCCATCTGAGCCAGCAGGGTGCGGCTGGTGTGTGTAGAGACGCGACGCAGCCATTGCGCTCGCCTCATCGGGAATCGACCTGTCGTCAGTCGCGTGAGTTTCGGTTTCGGGGGGTATGACGTATTTAGGATGAAGGTGGACAACGCACAAGTATAGTTTCTCAGCCTCCTTTCCCCAAATGAACTTCTTGCCCGGGTGAGCGTTGAAGAGCGTCGGGCTCCCGAAGAGCAGGCGCGAGGCGGGCCGCAAGAAGAAGAGGTGGAAGATGGCGATATTGACCAAGACGAGGACAACACCGAGTAGTTTCCGGAAGCGAGAGGCTTTGGGTGGGGTCGCAGAGGAGTCTGCGACCGGCAAAGGAATGTAGGGCCCGTTCAAAGAGCCTTTCTTCTCCATGGTGGGTTGGTGGGGAGAGAGAGGCGTTTGTGTTGCGAAGCTGACGTCGCAAAGTTGGCCGCGGCAAACGAGTTGTCCGAGCGTCATCGATTAGATAAGAAGAGTTGATACATTGATCTGCTTGTTTTACTTTTTACACTAGATTGCTGGGATAAATATAATCCTCGAGACCCACGAAGTTCTCCTTGATGCTGCGAGGGCTGACGAATCGGTAGAAAATACTGATGCTTCCCGCCTTGTCGTTGGTTCCGCTTCCCCTACCGCCGCCGAATGGCTGCTGACCGACGACCGCACCGGTGCACTTTTCATTGTAGTAGACGTTGCCTGCGGCATTCCGGAGCGCATTCGTCGCCTTGATAAGAGCAGAGCGCTCAGATGCGAAGCTGCAGATCAGATCGGTCACAGTCCAAACAGACAGAAGCAAAAGCACGAACATGGCACCAGTCAAACCATACTGGGAGGTGGAATCGATGAGCTTGAGAGTCGAATCGTACTCAGAGTCCTCGAAGACGTAGATTGTGATGACCGGTCCGAATATCTCCTCCACCATGGTGACAGATTGGGGGTCCTTGGTCAGGATGATAGTGGGCTGGATGAAGTAGCCCTTGGAGTCATCGCCTGCACAAAAATCTGAGAAATATGGCAGACAGAGCCAGCAACAGTACATACCAGTGCCACCAATCAACACCTCTCCGCCGGATTGCTTGGCTTTCTCAACGTAGCCAAGGATCTTTTCATATGCAGGCCGGTTGCTGGTAGCATTTCAACACAAAATGCCTGTTTCAAGATCAACTAGAACGCACATGACGGGGCCCATGTAGTTAGCCCAATCTTCAGGTCCACCGACTTTGATCTTGGCCGTCTCTGCGAGTAGCTGTTCCTTGAAGCCGGATGTCCACACCGAGGAGGAAACATATGCCCGCGAAAGCGCAGAGCATTTCTGACCTGTAAAAATACTAATCAGACTCAAAGGCCCACCGCAGATTTCCACAAGTCCCACCTTGGTACTCGAAGCCACCTCGGATAGTCTGAATCACCGCATTGCGAATTTCGGCACTCGAGTGAATCAGATGGAAGTTCTTGCCTCCAGTTTCACCGACGATCTTGGGGTATCCTTTGTAAGTGTTCAAGTTGGACGCGATGTCTTGCCACAGCTGCTTAAAAACGAAAGTGCTTCCCGTGAAGTGGAGTGCAGCGAACATCGGGTGTTTGATGGCATACTGAGCAACAATTTCAGGAGGCCCAGGCACGAATTGCATGACAGATGGCGGGACACCGGCTTCCTGGAAGAT